TGTCCAATTCATATCATGCAAATATCCTTTCCCATTGTGTAGGTTGTCTAGTTGCTTTGGTTGTTGTTTCCTTAGATGTACAGAAGCTATTCAGTTTAAGTCCCATTTATTTATTTTTGTTGTTATTGCAATTGCCACAGAAGACTTCTTCATAAAATCTTTCTCCAGGCCAATATTTGCAAGTGTTTCCCCCACACATTCTTTGAGGATTTTTATTGTTTCATGTCTTAGATTTAGATCTTTTATCCATCTCAAATCAATTTTGGTGAGTGGAGAAAGCTGTGGTCCAGTTTCAGCAGTTTAAACATGGTTATCCAGTTCTACTAGCACCATTTATTGAATATAGATTCTTTCCTCAGTGAATTTTCTTGTTTGGTTTATCAAAGATCAGGTGGCTGTAAGATCTTAGTTTCATCTCATGGTTTTCTATTCAATTCCAAATGTCAATGTCTCTATTTTTGTGCCACTACCATGCTGTTTTGATCACTATGGCCTTGTAGTATAGCCTAAAGTCTTGTAAGGAGATGCCCCTGGCTCTGGTTTTATTACTAAGAATTGCCTTGGCTATGCAGGGTTTTTTATGGTTCAGTACAAAATGAAGAATTATTTTTTCCAAATCTTGAAAGTATGATGATAGTATTTTAACAGGGATTGCATTGAATCTATAGATTGCTTTGGGAAGTTTAGATAGTATAGTATATTTTGATGTTGATTCTCCCCAGCCATAAGCATGATGTTTTCCTTCATTTGTTAATATCTTCTGCTATTTATTTTCCTTGGGTCTTATAATTTTCTTTATAGAGGTCCTTCATCTCTTTTGTTGGGTATATTCCTAGGTATTTCATTTTCTTTGAAGTTATGGTGAAGGGAATTGTGTACTTGATTAGCTTCTCATCTTGCCTGTTATTGTCAAAATACAAAGGATACTGATTTGTGGACATTGATTTTATATGCTGAGACATTATTATATTTTTTGATCACTTCCAGGAGTTTTGTTGTTGAGTCTTTGAGGTTCTCTAAGCATAAGATCATACCATCAGCACAGAGGGAGGATTTGACCTCTTCTGTCCCCATTTAGATGTCCTTTATATCCTTCTCTTGCCTGACTGTATTGGCTAGAACTTCCAGCACTATGTTAAATAGTAGTGGTGATAGAGGACAAACTTATCTAGTTCTAGTTCTAAGTCGAAAAGCTTTCAGTTTCACTCCATTCAATATAATGTTAGTTGTGGGTTTGTCATAGATAGCTTCAATCAGTTTAAGAAATGTGCCACTTATGCCTATATTCTTAAGTGTTCTGATTAGAAAAGGAATTTTATTAACACAATGACTAAGAAGATGACAGGAAGGCTATGTTAACCAGTTTGATGGAAGTGTTTCAGATTGTGTGTGAAAACACCACACTGTACCCCAGAAATGCATTAATGTACACAGTTACCATTCAATAAAAAAGAAAAAAAGAAAGAAAAGTAATTTTATTGAATGCTTTTTCTGCATTTATGGAGAGGACCACATGGTCTTTCTTTCTGCTTCTGTTGATATGGTGAATTACATTTAGGGACTTGCATATGTTAAACCAGACTTGCATGCCTGGAATGAAACCTACTTGATCAGGATGAATGATTATTTTAATGTGTAGCTGTAATCTGTTGACTAGGATTTTATTGAGAATTTTTGCATGTATATTCATTAGTGAAATTGGTCTGAGGTTCTCCTTTTTAGTTAGGTCTTTTCCTAGAATTAATTAAGCTTTCCAATTACAGATTTTTTTTAAATGATCCAACTATATTCTGTGTATAGGAAACTCTTCTTAGTTTCAAAGGCACAAATAAGTTGAATTTACAAGGATTAAAAAAGATATTCCATACATATAACTAAAAGAGAGCTGGAGTTGTTATACTAATATCAGATGAAATAGACGTTAAGTCAAAAATTGTTAGGAGGAAAAAAGTTGTTAAGAGAGGCCAAGAAGCACATTATATGTCATAAGTTATTATATATAAAGGGACAATTAAAAAAGAATATATAATACTTATAAACATATGTTTACCAAACAACAGAGCTCAAAAATATATGAAGCAAACATTGAAAGAATTGAAGGAAGAAATAGTTCCACAACAACAATTGTAGATTTTAATACTACACTTTCAATAATGGGTAGAACATCTTACAGAAGATCTATAAGAAAATACACAACTTAAACAACATTATAAAGCAATTAGACCTAACATACGTATGAAAATCATTCCACCCAACAGTGTCATGGGACATGGAACATTTTCCAGGATGGAAACATTTTCCAGGATGGACCATCTGTTAGGCCACAAAACAAGCCTTAATATATTTTAAAGCTTGAAATCAAAGTATCTTCTCTGAACACAGTAGAATGAATCTATAAATCAATATTAGAAAGACAATTAAATGGACTTTGCTATTCTCTTGGAGGAAAAAAAAAGAAAACTAGAAATCTCACAAATATTTGGAAATTACACAACAGACCTTTAAACAACCAATGTGTCAATAAAAGAAACCACAAAGAAAATGAGAAAGTATCTTAACATGAATCAAAACAAAAATACCATATACCAAACAGTTTATGAGCTACAGCAAAAGCACCAGAAGAGAAGGAAATTTATTTAATGTAAACATCTACATTTAAAAAATACATCTCCCAAATCAGTAATCATTTTGTAAAATATATACATACCTATAGAAATAGACATGTTAATTTACATTAGGGAAATTTCCATAAGATATATATCAAAATGGTAATAAAGGTGTGTGTTGGGGATTCTTGTGTGTTTGGGATTCTTTTTCTTTGTGCTTTTTTAATGTTTCTACAATGATTACATTAAAGCTATAAAATGAAAAAATACATCTATTAGATTAGAGTCCCTTTGAAGCTGCAAACCACAGCCTATAACCTATTTTTCTAAACATGATGTCCTTTTGTGCCATGCATTTGTAAATAAATAATGTATATCAGTCACCAAATTATAGTCAACAAATATTTCCTGAGCACCTACTACGTTCTAGGCACATTATTTTACTTTGCTGTACTTAGGTTCCCCTTTCTTCAAGGATAGAAATCCAGAGCACCCATTTTTCCCTGTCATATCTTGATCACAACTCTGAATTTGGATCTTAAATCTCATCTCTAATTGTTCAATGCAATTAATTCTCTATTAAAAGAATATCAGGCATCACATCACCAATCCTGGGCCTGCTTTAGTGATTTTAGACTTTGGAGAGTCAAAATAAAACATCTCATCAATCACCATCTCTGTACTGCTATACTCCAAGCCAATTCATCAGTAAATTCTTGAAGTTTATTTCAAAAAGAGAGGGACAAATCTCAAAAACTACCCCCCACTGGGCAATACCATCAAGAGCAAATTCTCCACTTGCTAAATACAGTAGAACCTCTGTTGACCACCCAAAAAACTATAACAAACTGGTCAACATACGGAGGTGGTGAATGGTAAAGGAACTAGGGCTACAGTATTGATACATACTGATGCACGTGTGGTTACAAAAATTAGGTCAACTTAAGCAGGTGGCCAATGCAGGGAGGTGATCAAGTATGGAGGTTCCACTGTATTGCTTCTGGTATCTCTCCCCCACTTTCCTTATTCCCTTCCTTTCTCAGACTCTAGTTTATCCTCTTCCTAACTCTCCTTTCTGGGGTAAGCCCTCAGAATGGGGGGGAGGGGGTAGATGGTGTGATTTTAGAACCCATTCTCACTGGCTCTTTCTTTCTCACCATCCAGCCATACATAGATGATATGTCTAATTCATTAAGAAAACACATGGGGTTTCCAGTGCCAGGGCAGCTCTTCACAGAGGTGCTAGAAAACAGCTGCTCCCCTACCCCCAGAGAGGGAAGAGAAGGCTCCTGCAGAAACCAAGTGGCAAGGGGTGTGTGAGGACCGGGCTGCGAGGGATGGAAACTCTCCTCTCCGCCCCGTCTTCTTGAGAGGAGAGATCTGTGTGACTGGTAACATGAGTAGTAGGAAGAACTAAACCCTTCCCAGTACTACTGAAAACAGCTGGTTCTGAATAAAGGTACACTGTGTCGCAGCTCCTATGGCCTATGGCCCTGGTCTCCATCACCTCAGGAAGGAACCAGGCGTGTGACAGATTAAAAGTACAAGCTTGCAGGATGCCGGCTAACCTTGATTGCAGGGTAGCCCAGAGCAACCTCCACGGTAGCCTTTTACTGAGACAGTACAAGACAGGTGAGGAGAGTATTAGACAATGACCAGGATCCCCCTGGGCTGGGCGCTTTCTCTGCAGGGAGTACCTGGGACGAATTGCCCCAGGGTCCAACCCCAAGCTGCAAATCATCTTGCTCAGAGGTCATCTGGTTCTTGGCATTCCCTACACACTGTATAAAGCTAATACTGAAAAATATTGTTGCTTTTAAAGTAAAGGAACATAATTTAGCTATGTCACCACAGTATTAATTAGCGTCTGAAGAGTAACATGTAGCAGGACCATTGACTAGCATAGTGCCCGATACTAATATTCTACGGCACTTTACAGCTGTGATTAAAAAGGTGGAATCAGACAAAGGCTGGATGCGGGGAGGTGGCAGCGGTGACCTCTGCTCAGGTGTGGGGCCCTCATACAGTTGATGTTATTTCACACACACAGCGCCATGAACCTCTGGAAAACAAGGCTGAGCCCCGGGGCCCAGGCTCAAGGCGGGTGCGGGAGGAGCTGCAGTAGCCTAATGTGCCCAGCACCTCTTTTCAGCGCAAAGGGCTGCCCTGCGCTTGTGTTCACATTGTGGCGCTGACCCTCAGTTCTTCCCCACTTCCTGACCACAGCTAGCGCCCAGCCCACAGCAAGGCGTCCCCTCACCTGCCGCCTGCCATCGCCCCGGCCGGAACAAAGCCTGCTGGAATCATGTGGCGCTCCTAGAATGTCACCAAGACTACCCAGCCCAGCCCCACCCACAGAGCCTGGCAACCCAGACCAGTCAGGGGCAGCAGAAAATGGAAGAACCTCCCAAAGAGGCTAGGGGCGAATACCGGGAACCTGAAAGCACAGACGTTCCTTCAGCTGCTGATTACACTGATGGCCAGGGAGAAGACGACCAGAAGAACCAGGCCGAGGGGGAGGCACATGACCAAACTGATTACAGAATAGCTGGCGAAAGTGCCAGCAAAGTGTCTGACCAGGCCGAAGCGAACACAGTTGGCCAAGCTGATGACAAAGTGTCTGAACGCCATGGACTTAATACCTCTGGTCAGGCAGAGCATAGTGGATCCAACCTTGTTAATGTCGCTGACCTTACAGCACGTGATCTGGCTGGAGAGGAGGCAGCTGAGCAGGAACAGATTGAGGACAACAAGGTCCTGCCTAAGGGAGAAACTCCTGAAGAGACTGAACGAAGATGGTCCATACTGTCTGACCGAAAGACTTCCCTACAGACAGATCATCTAATGTCCACAGAGGATGACAGATTAGATTATGAGCAGGTCAACAGCTCATTGTCCAGGCAAGCTGAGGGACAAAATGAGAAGCTGCCCCACGGATTATCTGGCCTGGATGAGAGCAGACCTTCTGAATGGACTGATGGTATGTTGTCCCTGCCATCTGACCAAAGAGCTTCTGAACAGCTTGACCACAGAATCCAGGCTGAGAAAAGGACTCATGAGCAGATTGACTACAGATTGTCTGGGCTGGTTGGCCAAAAACCAAACACTCGCTACCAACCCCCTCAACTACCTGCAGGCCAGGATGATCAACTTCCAGTTAAGACCGACTCCAGTGACTCTGACGAGATTCACCACTTACTTGACAAACAAGATTATCAGAAGGACGAGTACCCGTCTGACGATGATATGCTTGGCCAGACTGAGGACAGTGAGGACAAAGGGGCCGACTCCACAGAACTACCCTTCCATTCTGAGGATAGCCAAATAGACCTCAATTTCAAGCTTTCAGATGAAGTAGAAAATGAAATTGAAAGGACATCCAGGAGCCAAGCCTACCACCCAGCTAATGCCAAAATCACCAGTAATGTCCAAGCAGATCAAAACTTGACCCAAGAATCCCTGTCCACCTCCTCTAAAGAGGACAACATCACCAATCAAGAAAATACTCAAGCCATAGAATCCAGCCCTGTAAGTTAAAGGAGCATTTGATATCTATATGGGAGGCTGGAAATCCAGACAGGCCCTGGGATGGGGGCGTTGTAAGCATATGGGGTAGGAAGGCACATGTTAGGTCAAGGATGGGGAATAAACCCACATGTTGTGGTATATGTGACCCAAATGTTTCAAGAAGGGCAGGCGAAAAGTGGAAAGTAAAAGAGATATATTACCTCTCTACTACTCTAAGGCCATTCAGGAAGAATGAATGAAATAGGGTTGGAGTCCTGTTTCTGCTACTAATTCTCTGGTACTAAGTCATTTTCCCTCTCAGGGCTTTTACCAAGGGTAGGAATTTAGAACTGATTGGAGATCCCTGTGAAGGGCAAAATATTTGAAGTTGATTGGAGATGTCTAAGGTGCCTCCCATAACTTAAAATGGAATAATTATGTTGCGTAGAGAATCAGCCAGGTCTCATTAAAACGTGTCTTTTTTCCTACTCCTGGTATTACGATCCCATCAACACCAGATCTCCTTGATACCAACAATAATGCCTGGGACTTTCCAGTTTATTAAAGACTCTTTGGATGTCGGGTGTATTTAAATTGCAGGTTAAGCCTCCACATTTTGAGCAAGAAAAGAGTTCTCATATACACGATCAAAGTTATAAGAAGGGGTTCCCTCCTGTAGTGTATGAGGATCCTTATGAAGTTTCACTCCAATACATGGAAAAACATCGCATTCTGCAGATATTCCAGGTAAACCTCTCAATCCCTCTCTTTAATTGTGAGTTTTTCAAGAGGTACAGAAAGGGTACATGCTACAAAAAGGGATATAATGTAATTGAGAAGTCAAGTGCATTAAGATGTATTTACCAAAAGTAGTAAATGATGAACACCAGATGGATGATAGCACAATATGAGGCTCTTTAGAGGGATTCGAGATCACTTACACTGGTTAATACGGAAAAGCTTGGCCAAGGGTTAAAGTTTTAGCCAGACTAGGAAGGAAAGAAAAAATGTTGGCAATTGAATAGAAGGTAAAGAGGGAATTTACCTAACAAATTTAATCAGTGTAACTTAATTCTTTGTACCCTCAATGAATCCCAAACAATAAATAAATAAATAAGAAGAAGCAGAAAAAGACTTTCCAGGAAAAAGTGTAATATGGGGTGGTACCTATGGCTCAGTGGGTAGGGCAATGGCCCCATATACCGAGGGTAGCGGGTTGGAACCCAGCCCTGGCCGAACTGCAACAAAAATATAGCTGGGCATTGTGGTGGGTGCCTGTAGTCCCAGCTACTCTGGAGGCTGAGGCAGGAGAATCGCCTAAGCCCAGGAGTTGGAAGTTATTGTGAGCTGTGACACCACAGCACTCTGCTCCATGAGACTGTCTCTAAAAAAAAAAAAAAAAGTGTAATATGGTCACACATCACTTAATGACAGGGATACATTCTGAGAAATACATCCCTAGGCGATTTCATCATGGCACAGACATCACGGGAAGGACTCACACAAATCTAGAGGGTATACCTCCCACACACCTAGGCTATATATAACCTATTGCTCCTAGGCTACAAACCTGTACAGCATGTTATTGTACTGAATACGGGAGGCAATTGTAACACAGTGGTAAGTATATGTGTCTCTAAATATACAGATATCTAAACATGAAAAAGACACAGTAAAATTATAGTATAAAACATAAAATATGGCACACCTGTGTAAAGTACTTACTAGGAATGGAGCCTGCAGGACTGAGAGGTACTCTGGGTGAGAAAGTGAGTTCATGGTGAGTGGTGAGTAAAAGTGAGGGCCCATGACCTTGCTGTATATTATGGTAGATTTTATAAACACTGTACAATTAAGCAACATCAAAATTATTGAAAATGTTTTCTTTCTTCAATAACATATTAACTTAAGCTTACTGTAACATTTTTACTTTATAAACTATTAAATTTTTTAACCTTTGTTGTTCTTATAACAACACCTTAAAACACACTTTGTATAGCTATACAAAAACATTTTCTTGGGCAGTGCCTGTGACTCAAGGAGTATGGTGCTGGCCCCACATGCCAGAGGTGGTGGGTTCAAACCCAGCCCTGGCCAAAAAAAAAAGAAAAAAACCATTTTCTTGTTTTATATTCTTCTATGTGGGTTTTTTCTATTTTTAAAATTTTCAAATTTTATTTTCTACTTTTTAAACTTCTCTGGTAAAAACTAAGTCACAAAACACAAGCTAGCCTTGGCTTACTCAGGGTCAGGGTCATCAATATCACTGTCCTTCATCTCCACATCTTGTCCCACTGGAAGGTCTTTAGAGGTCATAGCACACATGGAGCTGTCATCCCCTATAATAACACTGCCCTCTGAGATACCTCCTGAAAGACTTGTCTGAAGCTGTTGTACAGTCACCCTTTTTTATAAGACATGTAAATAGAAAAGGACTCTAAAATAATAATAAAAATGATGTTACAGTACATAAACTACTAACATAGTCATCTATTATGATTATCAAATATAATGTACATTATTTTAGGTACTACACTTTCAGACAACTGGCCATGCAGTAGGTTTGTTTACACCACCATCACCACAAACCTACATTATCACAGCTACAACACCACTAGTTGATAGGAATTTTTAAGTTCCATTATAATCTTATGGGACCACTGTGGTATATGTGGTCTGTACTTGACTAAAATGTCATTATACAGTGCATGACTATACTTTCAAAAGATGATCAATCTTGTAAGCATCTAATAATCCACATTCTTGGTGGGGGGAAGGAAAAGTTTAAAATTGCTTCTAACTCTTGAAATTATAAGTCTCATTGACCTCAGGATGTGGCGCTAGAACCTTCTTTAAAGTATGACAATCCTTAACCACTGTCGAATTACCAGAGATTATCATGGACACATACATGTATAGTTTGGGTGTGTAGTGGGTTATTTTTGTTTTTATATGACTGGGGTGTTTATTTTTATGTTCATATTATTTACACATCAATGTACATGTATAATAACATACAAACATGAGGCAACTGTGGTTAGAGAAGCGTAACTAAATACATGAAGGCATTTAAACTGGAATGTGTAAAGAAATAAGAACTCAAGGAAAGAGCACAGATTTTGCCATCTGTTAGCACTAGTCTCAAATCCTAAATTTGTCACTTCTTCGTGATTTGCGGAAAACTACTTAACTTCTGTGAAGATCAGATTTAAAATATGGATGTGCGATGTCTATTTCATTAACCTTCATTTATACCTTTTCCTTCTTCAAGTGTTCTTTTGTTGGGAGAGTACTAATGACTGGGTCTAGAATTAATTTAAAAACTATTAATTATTAAACTGAAGGATGAAACCTGTTGAAGAAAGTAGCGTTTCATAAATAATTTTATAAGTAATTTTCTTCCTCTGTCAAGAAAAAGTTAATGCTTATGAATATAGCGTTGCTATAAAAAGTTAGTAATCAAATATGTGTTTAATGGAAATATTTGTGACATACACAATTGAATGATGTGGATGCATTAGACAGACCTGAATATTTTATACCTGAAATTTGCCTGATTGTTATTCCCTGCAAGTGATAATTATACTACTTTATTATAATTGTTTGATTTATTCAATAACAACAAAAAGTATGAAACTGAATCCCTAGTTTTATATATATTTTCTCATTTAATATGATAATACTGGACATCATTTTCACCATTTAGAATCAAATATCTCAGAGGAAATTTCCTAGGCAAAATCACACAGGGTTTCAAAATTTTTATTCAAAAGACTCTACTTTGACTATTCTTCAAAGCAAATCATTTTTTAAATTTCTCAGCCCAGTGAGATCATAATTCTCAAAACAAAGACCTTTCTCCAAAACTTTCTCACTTCCTCATAGGTCTTGGAAACCAGTAAGAATATCTATTACTATTTATTTCTAAGTTTTTATTCCTTTAAATTTTACCCCTAATCTGCATAGTTTTGTCAGTAGTAATAAAGTAAGTTGTTTCTTTGTAGAGATGCATGAATTTCTTCTAAATACTATGGTACAGATGAGGTTAGTGGAAAGACTGTATCAGATGTAATCTGGCCCGGTAACTTCAGCTCAGAACCGTAATGCGATGCTTTATGCTTTCTCAGCAGATCACTGAAAACTTAGTCTATGCAAAACCAGAGGACCCCCTGTACTTTATGCTGTGTCAGGTATGGAATAGAAGTAAAAAAGCAACATTTTCATTTCTTTCATTGTAAAATATAGCACACACGTACAGCAACAGGTAAAAAACAAAAGGTACCTGAAAAAGTGTACAACTCTGAAGTAAGCATCCCTGTAACTAGCACTCAAGTTAAAAAATAAAATAAACCATCCAGTACCCCCAGAAGTTACCCCCTTGCCCTCAGTTATTACTGCCCACCCAGGGACACTTATTCTGACCTTTGTGATAATGGCTTCCTCACTTTTCCTTATAATTTTATCCATCGCTAAACCTGAAGCATGACACACTTCTGTTCAGATTAGCCAGCTTTTTGAACTGTGTATAAAGGGAACCATCTGATATGTATTCATTTCTCTCTGCCTTCTTTTCTCAAAATTATGTCGGTGAGATTGATCCACGTTGTGTGTGTAGATCATTCATTTCCATTGCTGTCTGTACAGCATCATGGCGTGAAATACTCTTTCTCCATTTTGATGGACATGCAGGTCGTTTCTGGCTTGAAGGTATTAGAAAAAAACGTTGCTATGAACCTTCTTGTACATATCCTTTGATAACACTTTTCTCTTGAGTACACACATTGAAAAGTAATCGCTGGATTGTAAGGTATGTGTTTGCTTAGCTTTGTGATTTCAAGAAGTTTTCCAAAGTGATTGTACCGATTTACCTTCCCACCTAGATTGTGTAAGCATCCTTACCGATACTTACAATTATCAATGTTTTTAGCATTAAGCATTTTGATAAGTGAATAGTAATATATCATTATATCAATAGTAATATTTCATTTTTCCCTTTCCTGGTTAGTGAGGGAGTTGCATGCCCTTTCATTTGTTTATTGGCCATTTGGAAATACTTATTTTTCTACTGTATTGTTTGCTTTTTTTGTAATCACTACTAACAGTTTTCTATATAGTAGTTTGGTTATGTGTTCTTTGTTGTTTATGCTTGCTGCAAATTACCTTTTTATTCTATCATTCCCTTCTAGCTCTTAAATATATCTTTTAATAAATAGAACTCTCACTCCTACTACAGTCATATTTAACAATCTTTGTCTTTATAGCTAATACTTCCAGTGTCCTATTTTAGAAGTCTCTCCTTAGCCCAAGCTTCTGACCATCCATCGTTTTCTATACTATCTCCTAGAAATCGGTTTGCAGTTGGTTTTTTAAACTGGGGGAAGTGGCAGTTTTGTTTCCTTGTTGTTTGCCTTTCATGTTTACATCCACAATTGGTCTGAAATTGATTTTCTGCAGGGTACGAGGTGGGGTCAAGTCTATTTTCTTCCAAGCAGATAGGCAGTTGACCAAGCACCTTTTAGTAAAAAGGCCATACTCTCTACACTGTTCTTTTTTTTTTTTTTGGCCAGGGCTGGGTTTGAACCCACCACCTCCAACATGTGGGGCTGGCGCCCTACTCCTTTGAGCCACAGGCGCTGCCCTCTACACTGTTCTTTATATATTTGTCTTCCTTGGTCCAAAACAAGCCTGTCTTCATAGTATACATTACAAAAGTTTTAATATCTAGTAAAGCAAGTCCTCCCCCTTCATTCCTCTTTTAAAATATCTTGGTTGTTCTTGGGCCTGTATATTTTTATATCAGTTTTTAGAATTACTTGTCAAGTTACACAAACATACACACATGTACACATCCCAACTTACACTGATGGGATTAGGGGGATTGTACTAAATGGATAGATCGGTCTGGGGAAAAGTGACAGCTTTAACATGGGCGTTTCCAGTCTCCATTTATTTGGGTATTTTAAAATTTCCCATAGTGCAGTTATTATTTGCCCAAAGTTTTTATATAGCTTTTGATAGACTTATTCATAAGAATTTTATATTTTGATGCCATTATACATAGAAACTTTTAAAATTTTGTGTTCTAGTTGCTGGTACAAAACACAATTAATTTTTTCTTAGTCTTTTATCTGGCAACCTTACTAAACTTTTTAATTTTAAAAGTGTATTTGTTGGGTGGTGCCTGTGGCTCAAAAGGGTAGGTCACCAGCTCCATATGCCAGAGGTGGTAGGTTCAAACCCAGCCCTGGCCAAAAAAAAAGTTTGTTTATTCTTCAGGGGTTTCTTTCTTATGTGGACCTGGACCTATTATGTAGTGGCAAAGTCTGGGGTTTCAGTCTATCATCACCCAAATAATGTTCATTGTACATATTAAATAATTTGTCATCTCTTCCCTTCCCCCTTCTCTCCCACCCTTCCAAGTCTCCAAAGTCTGTTATTCCACAGTCTATGTCCATCTGTACCCATTATTTAGCTCCCACTTATAGGAAAGAACATGGAGTATTTGACTTTGACTTTCTGAGTTATTTCCTTTAAGATAATGGCTTCCAGTTCAATCCATGTTGGTTCAAAAGACATGATTTCATTCTGTTCTATGGCTAAACAGTATCCCATTATATATACTACCACATTTTCTTTATCCATTTATCCATAGATGGACACTTAGGCTGATTCCATATCTTTGCTATTGTAAACAGTGCTGCAATAATTATGTGAATGCAAGTATCTGTTTGATAAATTAGTATGTTTGTGGTTTCAGGTCTTATATTTAAGTCTTTAATTCACTTGAGTTGATTTTTGTACATGATGAAAGAAATGGGTATGGTTTCATTCTTCTGCATATGGTAATCTGATTTTCCAAGGACCACTTATTGAAAAGGCTGTCCTTCTTCTAGTGTCTATTTTTGTCAAGTTTGTCAGAGATCAATTGGCTGTAGATATGCAGCTTATTCTTAGATTCTCTATTCTTTTCCATTGGTGTAGGTGTCTATTTTCACACTAGCACTACGCTCTCTGGATTACTATAGTCTTGTAGTATAATTTGAAGTCAGGAAATGCGATGCCTCCAGCTTTGTTCTTTTTGATTAGGATTGCTTTAACTATTTGATCTATTTTTTGGTCCTGGAATTTTAGGATGTTTTTCTAATCCTGTGAAAAACAACATTGGCATTTTAATAGGATTACACTGAATCTGTAGATTGCTTTGGTCAGTATGGGCATTGTATTGTATTGTATTGTAATGTATTGTATTTTGAGATAGGGTGTTTCTCTGTTGTCAGGGCTAGAGTACATTGGCATCTTCATACTCAACAGCAAACTTCTGGGCTAAACCAATTCTTCTGCATCCCAGTATCCCAAATAGCTGGGACTAGAGGCCCACACTACCACACTTGGCTAATTTTTAATTTTTTTTATAGAAATGAGATCTCATCATATTGCCTAGTCTGGTCTAAAACTCCTGGCCTCAAGTAATCCTCTTGCCTCAGCCTCCCAAAGTACTAGGATTATAGGTGTAGGCAACTGTGCCCAGCTAGAATTGTCATTTTAGTCCCCTAAAACTAGAACGAGACAAGAATACCCACTTCCGCCTCTCCTATTCCACATAGTACAAAGTTATCAGGCAAGAGAAAGAAATAAAAGGCATCTAAATCAGAAAAGGAGAAATCAAATTATCTCTGTTTGCTGACAGTAAAACCTTATACCTAGAAAACCCTAAAGATTCCTCAAAAACCCCACAGATTTAATAAGTAAATTCAGTAAAATTGCAAGCTATGTGTGTAAAATCAACATATAAAAGTCAGAATTTGAACACATCAATAAGGATCAAGCTGAGAACCCAATCAAGAAAGCAATTCATTTACAATCACTACAAAAAAGCAAGCAAACAAACAAACAAAAAAAAACTTGGAATGTATTTAACCAAGGAGAAAGAGCCCTACAAGGTAAACCACAAAACGCTGAAGAAAGAAATTGTAGATGACACAAACAAATGAGAAAACATTCCATACCCACAGATCAGAAGGATTAATATCATTCAAAATGATCTTTGTGTGTTTCTACATATATAATCACATCATTTGCAAACAGTAAGCGTTCTGTTTTGATCTTTACAATCCTTATCTTTTTTCCCTCCATGTCTTACTCTTGAGATCTACCTTCTCTTCTCTACCCTCCAAAGAGACCAACCTCTAGGTCAGCGGTTCTCAACCTGTGGGTCTTGACCCTTTGGAGGGTCAAACGACCCTTTCACGGGGGTCAACTAAGACCATCCTGCATGTCAGATATTTACGTTACAATTCATAACAGTAGCAAAATTACAGTTATGAAGTAGCAACAAAAATAATTTTATGGTTCTGAGTCACCATAACATGAGGAACTGTATTAAGGGTTGCGGCATTAGGAAGGTTGAGAACCACTGCTAGGTATTATTAGATCAGTAAGTTCTGATTCCTTCTGATTTCCAGCCAGGTGAAAACAATAAGAAACTCTGGAGAAAGATTATAAGGAGGAAGCAGGTGAGGTAAGGTTCATTGCCCAGGCCTTCTCCCTTATGAGATCACCTTGATCTGTCTTGAGTTGTCTCAAGTCATCTTATTTTACAAGACCATTTTCTTCCAGATGCCAGTAACATTCCCTCTCCTTGACCCTTAAATCCTAAAGTAAGTTCAAATGCTACTAGCTTTAAATTATTCTATCATCCCTTGGGACTCCTCATGTCTAATTCTTTTCAATTGCCCCTTTATAAATAAACCTCACTGAATTCTATTTTAAGTGTGCTATTTCCTGTTGGAACAATGACTGCTACAGTACACTGGGTAGAGATCTCCTGTATAATTAATCTTGAACAGAAGTAGCTACAATGGTTCACCTTGCTTGCTCTTGTGGGTTTCTTTATGATTGATATATTTGAAATATTGTTCATATTTGGGGAGTACATGTGATATTTTTATATAAATATACAATATGCTGTGATAAATTTAGGGGAGTACATGGGGTATTTTTATCTACGATCTCTACAATATGCAGCGATAAATTAGTGATATCCTAGAGTAATTAGGATATCCATTACCTAAAATGTTTATTTTTTCTTTGTGTTGGGAGTGTTATAATTCCTCTAGCTATATTGAAATATACAATAAATTATTAACTAAAACTTTTCTACTCTAGTACCAAATACTATAAGTTATCCCTTCTATCTAACTGAATTGTTGTACCCCTTAGCCAACGTTTCATCTCCCTT